GGGCGCAACGCGTGGCTGTCCTACGAGCTGGTGCAGGCGTCGGAGCCGGCGCTGTTCCGCGTGGGGCTGCACAGCGGCGAGGTGCGCACGGCGCGGGCCGTGTCCGAGCGGGACGCGGCCAAGCAGCGAGTGGTGGCCGTGGTGAAGGACCACGGGCAGCCGGCGCTGTCGGCCACGGCCACGGCCACGCTGCACGTGGTGCTGGCCGAGAGCTTGCAGGAGGCGCTGCCGGAGCTGAGTGACAGAGACGCTGTGTCCCACCTGTCGTCTGATTTGAACCTCATTCTTGTTGTGTCGCTCTCCGTCGTGTCCTTATTATTCGTTTCCACGGTCATTTTTGTATTTTTCTTTAAATGTCGACAGTCGAGGAGCCCTCCCATTTTTATAACTTCTGATAAGGAACTGTATTCCACCTTGGGCTCAAAAGCACCGTACAACTACTGCAGCAGCACGCTGCCTTTGCCCTATTCCTACGAGGTGTGTTTAGCTTCCGAGTCGGGGCAGAAGGACTTCACGTTCTTGAGACCGGGGGTGGCAGCCTTGTCTACCAATGTCCTCTCTGCTGATCCTGGCTCAGGCACTCGTTCTGGGGAGGACCCTCCTAGCACTGGGAGCTCTACACAGGTGAGCTTCTGCCCTACGGTCCCTCTCTGTGAGTTTTTCTGAATCTTTTCTTCCTCTATTCTGCTGTTGCTGATCAGTAGGGAACCTGCAGGTCTGAACGTGCCGGCGCACTGCTCAATAGCTCAGGGGCATGCGGGTGTGAGTGATTGGGAGTGTACTTCAGATCTTGACTCATCCTTTTGACCTGCCAAATCTTATCTGCAAATTGCTGATTTTCCCCGAGGAGTGGCACAAATATTGTCAGTACTTCTGTCTGTCCTGGAGAAGGACAGACAGCTGCGAGATTCACCGAAATGGAGTGGTGGGATGGACTCGGGGTGGAGCGGGAACAAAAGTGTCGTGGAACCTGAAGCTGAGACAACATTTTCGCCTGGGTCTAGTGACCACTAATTGTCTCAGCCACATTTGGGCTCTTTCATGTGATAATGATGTGTGATCTGTCCCGGCGTGTTTACTCGATAGGGAACTATGCTGTAGTTCTCCTTTTCTGGCAAGCTCGGTTCTTTAGCTCTCTGAACCCCTTTAACAGAAGGTATTGTATACACCCGTAACTCAACTTTTTCCCTCCTTCTGTGGAGTCGGAGCTGGTGCTTCAGTGCAGCTTCAAGCCTGGCATGGAGCAAAAGGAGCTTTTTGTCCCCCGATGCCACCGGCTTCCCTGGAGTGGAGTCAGGGAAAATGCCAAAGTGAGCGGCTAAGGCTGGAATTTGGCTTGAAGCAGTCCCCGGAGGACTGGTGCAGGGGAAGGGGTCTTTCCTCTTAGCTGTTGTACTTTTTCACTCCTCTCCCTCAGAACGGCACTTCCAGGAGCTCTGAAGCGTCGTCTGTGATATTCAGGCTTCCCATTAAAGTGGAGGAGATGTAATGTCTCCAGATTAATCGAAATACGGTAGATGGAAATATTCTGTCTTTCATGCCTTTCCTAAAATCTCTTTTCTACTCATCTCTCCACTGCTTGGCCGTCCCAGTATTGCTGTCATTAAACAGAGAAGGTACTGTGTGTACTCATACACAGGGAGGGAAATTATTTGAGAACTGTGGTCCCCACGTTGAGATATCATGTGTAGGAAAAACCTAAAATGGGTAGTGATTGGAAAAAGGATTCAGAACTTACAGTGGCTGGGAAAAGGATTCAGAGTTTATTTCAGAGAAATAAGTCACTGAAGACTATTCTGAGATTGAGTGGAAGAGAGCTGTGGATTTTCTTGGTTTTAAATTATATGTAAGAAAGGAAGAATATTGGGATTTGGTTTTCTGTGAGAAAATAAAGTGCTTTGGGAACATTAGATGACTCATATTGGATTTTATTTGTGTGAAACTCTATCACATGTGAACGCTATGTGAACTTTTATCACATTCTGTGGCCAGGTGATAAGAATGATAAATAGCGCTGATAAAGTTTATGTTTTGGCAACGATTAATCAGGAGAAAAAGAAATAGCTGAGCATGTAGATAGGACAGATTGCGCCGACTTTTTCGGTATTACCGACTCTTCATGTAAGTGCCAAACTATTGCATTTCTGGGTGGATCCCATGTGCTCACGGCAGCTTTTAGGATTGTGCGGGGTGAGGGTACGCAGAGAGTCGAGATCCCTCTCGTTCTGGCGAATGTCGCTGTCCAACGCTGGTGGGGTGGCTTGCAGCCCCCTAGGAGCCTAGCCCCCACAATTAGCGGGGTAACAAATAACCCGCCGCAAGTTTCCGAGTCCAGCTTTTGCTTTCCTTATCGGTGTCGGTTGTGCGATGACACCTGGGCGCTGTGTCCCAACTGGGTTCTCCCAGGGTTCCTGACTCTCCCTTATCAAGCATCCTCGTCCCCTTTTCATTACCCCGTGAGAGTCGGGAGGTTCTGCGGGTGACAGACGACGAATGCCAGAATTTCGGTCACTTTATCCGTATGCGTGCTTGAAAAGTCGGAAAACCCAACATAGCACGAGTTGTTGATGACAGCAACAACAACCCAAAGGCAGGTTTTCGACCAGGCACTGCCAGTGCTGTGACCTGCCAGGCTGTTGCTGCGCGGGAACAGGATCCGTTCCTACCCCGGTGAACCTGCACCGCAGCTTGCAGAGCGTGATTTCCCTGAGTCTGGCTCGTGGAAAAAAGTACCGGGGAGCAACCCGGGAGATGGCGAGAGTAGGAGGGCGTATTAAACCGAGATTTCTGCGGTTTGTCAGGGAAGACGCCTGCTGGGATAGTGGTGGTAGTGAGGATCCCGCAGGAGGAGCGATGCTCCTAAAAATCCAGCGGCGGGAGCCGCCCCGCGGCGAGACTGTGTTGCGGCCGGTGGAGCTGCTCATAACACGGCAGCAGGAAATCTGTGTCGCTGTGCCGGCTGCGCTGCTTTGGTAGCATACTGAGCCGCGATGTCCCGACACCTTGAAAGGGGATTCCTCCCAGGAAGGGGCTGGCCAAGCATTTGGGTGGGAGAACCGGCATCCTGAAGGTCCTGAGGAAGACTGGGCGCTGGCGCGTCTTGCCGTTGCTGGCTCTCCCGGCACCCTGCGTACCCCGGAGTATCCTTCCCACTCATCCTCCCGCCCTCTCCACCTCCCTTTCTTACTCCCGCTGCCTCATTCCAGCGAGGTGTTCCTGGGACGCACATACCCCAATCACCCCACGTCTCCGTATCGCCCCTTCTGGCCTCACTGCCAACTTCTACAGCTTCTTGCCCGCGCAAACAGTCCCTATGCCCGATCCACCCTGCCTCTGCCAGCGCTCCCCCCGCCTGGCTGTTTCCGTAGCGGGGTTTCTCGCAGGGCTGTGCTCGCAGGTTCGGCCGCTCGAGCCCCGCTGTCTGGGGCCGCGGTCGCCGCGCTCCCTGCGCGGGGCTCGGCGGAGCGCGGCGCGCCCTGCGCGCTGTGCAGTTACTGGCCGGGACTCTGTGTGCCGCTGTCGGCCAATGATGGAGCGGGGGGAACAGGCGGCCCGGCCCCGCTCGGAGCCGGGATGAGGCGCAGACGGTCTCAGAGAGACTCTGCGAGTGAGTCACCGCCGAGCCCGCCGAGCGATGCCCGGCTCCCCGCCGCCGCCGCCGCTTCCCGGGGCCGCTGGGCAGCGGCATGACGGGGCGAGCTGAGAGTTTCTAGCCGGGGCGGGGGGGCGAAGCGGAGAGCGCGGCCGTCCTGTGCGATGAACGGCGTTGCTGTGAGGAGCCGCGGGGTGACGACGGGGCAGGTACTGAGCCTCTTGCTTTTGTTCGGCGTTTCCGACTGGGTTTCCGCCGCGATTCGCTATGCGATCCCCGAGGAGGCGCGGAGAGGCTCCGCGGTGGGGAACGTGGTAGCCGACCTGGCGCTGGACCTCGGGCGGCTGCCGGGGCGCCGATTGCGGGTGGTGTCCGGCGGCAACAAGAAGTACTTCGGGGTGGATCTGACGAGCGGGGCGCTGCTGGTGAACGAGAGGATAGACCGGGAGGAGCTTTGCGGCGCGCTCTCTCCCTGCTCCCTCAGCTTTGAGATCGTGGTGGAAAACCCGCTCGAGCTGTACAGCGGCACCGTAGAGATCCAGGACATCAATGACAACGATCCGGTTTTTCCCAGCAGCCAGGCGAGGCTGGAAATCAGTGAGTCGGTGGCTGCCGGAGCGCGCTTCCCGCTAGAGAGCGCGCAAGACCCCGATGTGGGAATTAACTCTTTGCAAACCTACCAGCTCAGCGCCAACCCGAACTTTGCGCTCGACGTGCAGACAAGGGTGGATGGCAGCAAGTACGCAGAACTGGTATTAGAGAAGGAGCTGGACAGGGAGGAGCAAAGGGAGCTGAATTTGGTCTTGACGGCGCTGGATGGAGGCAGCCCGCCACGGTCGGCTCACGTGCAGATCCACATTGACGTTGTAGATGCCAATGACAATGCCCCGGTCTTCAACCAGTCCACCTATAAGGCGAGTGTGAGGGAGAACACGCCCAGCGGTACCCTGGTCGCCAGGATCAGTGCCTACGACCTGGATGATGGGCCCAATGGAGACATCGTCTACTCCTTCAGCAGCCACACCCCAGCCAAGGTACGAGAACTCTTTGCTCTGGACTCAGCCACAGGGGAGCTGAGGGTCAAGGGTCAGCTGGACTATGAGGAAACAAAGTTGTACGAGATTTACTTACAGGCTAAAGACAAGGGAGCCGTTCCTGGTGTGGCTCATTGCAAAGTGCTGGTGGAAGTCGTGGATGTGAATGACAATGCTCCAGAGGTGACAGTGACTTCTGTCTACAGCCCTGTGCCTGAAGATGCAGCCCCAGGGACGGTCGTAGCTCTGCTGAGTGTAACAGACTTGGACTCCCATGACAATGGCCTGGTGAACTGTTTTATTTCCCCTGGGATCCCGTTCATGCTCAGCTCCTCCCTTAAAAATTACTACACATTGAAAACAGAAGGAGCTCTAGACCGGGAAAAGGCAGCAGAGTATAACATCACTATCACAGCCAAGGACTCGGGCTCACCACCCTTGTCTGCAGTAAAACACATCCAGGTGCAGGTGTCAGATGTCAATGACAACGCTCCCAGGTCTTCCCAGGACTCCTATGATGTCTATGTTCTGGAGAACAACATGCCTGGCATCCCCATCCTTAATGTGAGCGCCACAGATCCGGACCTCGGGCGCAATGCCCACCTCTCCTATACCCTTTTGCAGGGTGACACCACTTTTGGCCACCTCTTCTCCATCAACCGGGAGAATGGCACCCTCTACGTGCTCACCTCCCTGGACCATGAGGACCAGGTGGAGTTCAACATGATGGTGCAGGTCCAGGACGGTGGCTTTCCGCCTCTGGCCACTAATGTCTCAGTCAGTGTGTTTGTCACTGACCTCAATGACAATGCCCCGATGGTGCTGTACCCTCACCCCAACACCACTGCCACCTACACTGATGTGGTGGCACCAGGCACGCCTGCTGGGCACATGGTCACCAAGGTGGTGGCGGTGGATGCGGATGCAGGGTACAATGCCTGGATCTCCTATACCCTGTTGCAGGCCACTGACCCCAGCCTCTTCTCGGTTGGGCTGCA